TATAATATATTTATTATATACAATACCTAATCAAAATCATTTGTGTCTTCAATAAAATAACAGTTTCATACCAAAACAAAACTCTGCATTATGGAAAAACTTAGGGTTTTATTTGTTAAAATTTCTATTCCATATAATCTACTAAAATATGAAAAATTTCTTACATATTTAAATAAGCAGTGGTGTGTGTGTGTGAGAGAGAGAGGCAGAGAGAGAGAGAGAGAGGGAGAGGGAGAGAGAGAGAGAAACAAAGAGACACAGATAAAGAGAGACAAAGAGAAAGGTATAAACAAGAATTATGGATATTAAAATGTATTCTAAATTACATCAACCACTTTTATGGAATAGGAAATTGGCTATAATTGTTATCAGTGGAACACCATTCTTACTGATTATTGTCCATTAAAATACTAAGTGTAAACTTTGATGGAGAATAAAATGAGGGATACTTGAAAGAGATTCAAAATCATAGAGAAAAATTATAAATGGTCTCTAATTTAACTCCTCAAATTAAATTAATTAAAATTAGTTTTACTTATTTAAGAGGTACATAGTTGACAAACCTGATGCTTCTATAACCTCTAAGTATCTAATTCCCTATCCATGCATTGAGCATGAATAACATATGGGGAGGAAAACAAATGTGTAGAGCATAGAACACAATGAATATTACTAATATCCTAGCAATTGTTATTATTTTTAAAGTCTGGTATTGTTGTAAATGTTTAGATTAAGATTTGTATTTTAGCAAGAACACTTAACCTGAGATACACCCACCTTAGCAAATTTTTAAGAACATGATATTATGTGATTAACTATGGGCACATTCTTGTATAACAGATCTCTAGAATTTATTCATCTTGCATAACTGAAAATTTGCACCCCTTTCATAGAAACTCCTTTTCCCTTCTGCAAACTCTGTGGAAACTGCCAGTCTCCCCCTTGTTGCTATGAGTTTGATTATTCAGGTACTTTCCATAAACAAAATTACCCAGGATATGTCCTTCTGTGACTGGCTTTTTTAACTTAATATAATATCCTCCAGATTCATTTACAGTGTACGTTATCGTAAAATGAGTTTTCATTAAGGCTGAATAGTATTTCATATATATGGCCTTTTCCTTATCCCTTCATGCTTTAATGGATATTAAGGTTGTTTACATGTTTTGGCCATAGTGAATAATGTTACAATGAACATTAGCGTGGCTGTATTTCTATACGAACCTGATTTCAAAATTTTTGAGTAGATCACCCAAATGTGGTATTTCTCAGTCATGAGGTAATTCTATTTTTAATTTTTAAAAGAACTTCCATAGTGGTTGTGCCACTTAACTTTCTCACCAACAGTATGTAATACTTCCAATTTCTCCATAGGCTTATGAATAGTTGTTATATGCCATTTCTTGGGTAATAGCTATCCTAACAGGAATGATATATTTCACTGCAGCTTTGATTTCATTTTTCCTTATGATTAGTGATGTGGAGTCTCGTTTCACATATCTCTTGGCTGTTTTACACCTTCTGTGCACAAACATATATTCAATACTTTGCTGGATACCTTGGGTAATTCTTCTTTATTCTGTTTAGTTGACCATTTATTTCATGGCTATGTAACATGTACCTACTCTATATATGATATGCAATACAAGCTATAGATTCATATAAACTGACTGGAAGTACCTATAGTAGCACAGACAATAAATTCTATTTTGGTGAATTTAAAATATTCTTGACCTTCTCTGACTCAGTTACAATAGTTTCTGTTACTTAAGTAAGAGAATTCAGAAAATGAAGCTATTTCTATGAAACTGTGCGTAACTTTGATTAGATACAAGCTAATTGATACCTATGCAGGAGGAAACAAAAAGAAACTGCAATAACTAATAAACATGAAAAATCCTTGTTGTTATAATAATGTTTCTAGTTTTCACTACAGAGTATATTATACAAAAGTGAGAGTAGTAACTAGATCTGGGAAGGATTGTTGTACTTCCCTATCAAAATAAATCTGAAGGCACTGTAGAATTTTGAACTTTGTAAACTGAAGCTAACAAGAAGACCTCCCATCTTCAAAAAGTCTTATACTAGGGATAACTTATATTAATGGTGGTAAGAAATATTAGGTAAAAAGAAAGTTTATGTAAAAATGTAAGTGTCCTATTAAGAATAATAAATATATGCACAAGTGATCATATAAAAATTATTGTACATATAAAAATCTATAGTAAGGCTAGGAAGTAAACATATATAAGATTCCTATCACAAATTATTGTGGAGAAGACAGGTTTTTGGCAGTAGAAATAGATCTTTTTTTCCAGTTTGGGATGGCAATATGCAAAAATATGAAATGTGGTGAATTTTTCAACTATATCAGGGTACTTTCCAACTTGATCAGAGATTTAAAAACAAACCTTGAGATCAAATAAATGCTAGAAGAGCATATTGCTATATTTCAAGAATACTATACTTGAAAAACTGTCCTTCAAAAATAAAGGTGAATCATTGACCTGGAAAGCAGTTTGAAACACAAACCTTAGCTTCTGAGCAGGTGGATCTAGCTTTGCAAAACCCAGAGGATCTTGGGGAGGATCAGCAGTCCCAGGGTAAAGAATGGACTAGCAGTGCTAGCTCCAAGAACACCTTATAGTTATCATAAGATACAAATATATCATGGAGTTTTACCCTGAATGGCACTCCATGTGGCAGGCTAGCATTAGAGAAGAAATAAATCTATTGTAGTGCCTGCAATACTGGGGAGTAATACCATCAGGAGTAATTTTGAGAAAGAGTTTATTGTTTAAGACTGAAGAACTGTTGGAATCATAATTAACAAAACAATGAAATTTCAGTGTTTCTAGGGTCCCCATAAAACAGTGACTAGAAGGGAGATGTTCGTAATCAGCAGTTGCAGAGGGAGGACATGCTGGTCACAGGTTTCCTGAAAAGTTTAACCAGTAGTGAGCATAGGCTCTGAACCACTAGTCCTGTTCTCTATTGTGAGAAGCAAGACTGCTTATTTGTGGTTTTCTGAGGGTATTTGGAAAATACTTTGGAAAATATTCAGAAAATGCTGGGACTAAGTCCCGTGGACTGTTTGGCCTCTCTTCTTGCCTAATTCTAATCCAAAACTTAGTGATCTGTTTGCTTTCACCATCTCCCAGCATGACAACCTCAGCTGGACATTTGACATTTGGTGGGGTGTATGGGTAGAGGAGCTGCTGTTACAACTGGGACACATCACAAGCTCAGATGACTCAAAGCTTGTGGGGGATGGCAAGGGCAGAGGGTGCACAAAAGAGTAGAAGCAGTAAAAGGTACCAAGGTGAATACAGCCCTAAGGAAGACAACACACAACTGACTGATGCAGCAGAGCAGCAAAGGCAGGTTAGGACTCAGCAGTCACACAACAAATGATGAGCTTGGAAATAAAATAGGCTGTAGCTGTGATCCAATCTCTTCCCCAAATCTGGTGGATACCACTTGCCATAAACATTGGATAGAAACTACTGACCCAAACACTTCAACACAGAGGAATTTTTAGACTCTCTCCTCTTTCTTGTCTTTATTTTCAAAATTTGCTTTCTTTTATTTTCCTCTTAACTAGACCTTCATTTCTATTATTGTTAATATAACACTTTATTAATTTTTAGCTATTACATTTATACTGGTATTGTTAAATCTTTTCTACTTTTGATGCTGGTGTGGTACATATTTATTGTATTCCAACACTTGATTTCTCTCTATGTTTATGTTGTTATTACAAGTCTCTCTTCTATTGTTAAGGTGATGTAGCTGCAGCTTTTGTTGATTCTTATGTCAATGTCTAGTTTGTCTGTGACACTTCTTGTTGATATTCCTTTTTCTATGTTGAGCGGTGGCATAGTTGTTTCTCTTTTTTTTCTGAATGCCCATATCTGGTTTATATTTGTGTCATCAACATTACTATAATTTATTTCCTTTTTGAGTGGAGCTGGGGCAGAAGCACCTAGAAGAGGATTAAACATCAAGAAAATGGTTATTACGTTGATTATATTC